GTGAGTCCGTAGCTTGTTATGCTACATCTACCTCTGTTATACTTCTTGTCATGTATTCTAATTATACATTTGCCAGAATTATACCTTCTTCATCTTTTTTTTTTAATTTTTCTTTGAGATGGAGTCTCCCTCTGTCACCCAGGCTGGAATGCAGTGGTGTGATCTTGGCTCACTGCAACCTCCACCTCCCAGGTTCAAGCAATTCTCTGCCTCAGCCTCCTGAGTAGCTGGGATTACAGGCACACGCCACCATGCCCAGCTAATTTTTGTATTTTTAGTAGAGACGGGGTTTCACCATGTTGGCCAGGCAGGTCTTAAACTAATCCTGACCTTGTGATCCACCGGCCTCAGCCTCCCCAAGTGCTAGGATTACAGGCGTGAGCCACCACATCCAGCCCCAGAATTATACATTCTTTAGGACAAGATTGTATTTTGAGTCCCCAGTGCCTCCAATTATCGTGTTTGACTTAAATGATTAGTAAATTTCTGGTGGAAAAGGCCCCAATATAAAACACCTTTTGGCCGGGCACAATGGTTCATGCCTATAATCCCAGCACTTTGGGAGACTGAGGCAGGTAGACCACCTGAGGTCAGGAGTTTGAGACCAGCCTGGCCATCATGGCAAAACCCTGTCTCTACTAAAAATACAAAAATTAGCTGGGCATGGTAGTGGGCATCTGTAATCCCAACTACTCAGGAAGCTGAGGCACAAGAATCACTTGAACCAGGAGGCAGAGGTTGTAGTGAGCCTAGACTGCGCTACTGCACTCAGCCTGGGTGACGGAGTGAGACTCTGTCTCAAAAAAATGAATAAATAAATAAAACTAAACCACCTTCTGCTGCTTTCTGTGCAGGAACCTGAGTCCCATCCTTCTGAGCTTCTGCTTATCTCATCTCCCTTCCACTCTCCCATCTTATCTAACTTCGTCTTTCCTGCAGTGGACTTCTGGGGAGAATTCCACCTTCTCCCACAGAGTCTGGCCCCCTTCTCAGTGGGATGTGGGAAGGAAATTTTATAGAATATGTTCAGGGGAGAGGCAGGAGATGAGACAGAGGTGGTGTGGGGGCCATGTTGCCAAAGGCCTTAAATGCAATGCTAAAGGATGTTGAAATTACTCTGTAGCCCATAGATGATTAAGTAGAAACAGATCTTTTAGGTTGTAGTCACTTCAATTCTCAAGAAGATAACTGGGCCTGGCGCAGTGGCTCAAGCCTGTAATCCCAGCACTTTGGGAGGCCTAGACGGGTGGATCACGAGGTCAGAAGATCAAGACCATCCTGGCTAACACGGTGAAACCCCGTCTCTACTAAAAAAATACAAAAAAAAACCTAGCCGGGCGAGGTGGCGGGTGCCTGTAGTCCCAGCTACTCCGGAGCCTGAGGCAGGAGAATGGCCTAAACCCGGGAGGCGGAGCTTGCAGTGAGCTGAGATCCAGCCACTGCACTCCAACCTGGGCTACAGAGCTCAAAACAAACAAACAAACAAACAAAAAAGAAGATAACTGGACTAGTATCAAAGGATCTGGCTTTGGTTTGGCAATATCAAAGTTTTGTCACACATCCGTATGCCCAAATGTAAGCTGGTCCACAGTAGGTGCTCCATAAGTGCTGCTTGTTAAAGTCAATTGCAGGGCAGGGTTATTTCCTTTTTTTTTTTTTTTCTTTTTTGATGAGACAGAGATTTACTCTTGTTGCCCAGGCTGGAGTGCAATGGCACTATCTCGGCTCACCGCATCCTGCGCTTCCCAGGTTCAAGCGATTCTCATGACTCAGCCTCCTGAGTAGCTGGGATTACAGGCATGTGCCACCATGCCCAGCTAATTTTGTATTTTTGGTAGAGATGGGGTTTCACCGTGTTGCCCAGGCTGATCTTGAACTCCTGACCTCAGGTGATCCTCCCGCCTCGGCCTCCCAAAGTGCTGGGATTACAGGCATGAGCCACTGTGCCTGGCAATTGCAGGGTTATTTCTAAGTTCTTTTTTAGAGACTGTCTAGCTATGTCACCCAGGCTGCAGTGTAGAGGCACAGTCATAGCTCACTGTAACCTCAACTCCCGGACTCAAGTGATCCTCCTGCCTCAGCCTCCAGCATAGCATGCACTATGTACCCCGGCTAACTTCTTCTTATTATTATTATTATTTTGTGTAGAGATGGGTTCTCAAAATGTCACCCAGGCTAATTTCTAACTCCTAGTCTCACACAGTCCTCCCAGCTCAGCCTCCTAATAGCCCTAAGTTCTATATATATATATTTTTCAGAGTCTTGCTCTGTCGCCCAGGCTGGAGTGCAGTGCAGTGGCATGATCTTGGCTCATTGCAACCTCCACCTCCCAGGTTCAAGTGATTCTCCTGCCTCAGCCTCCTGAGTAGCTGGGATTACAGGTGCGCGCCACCATGCCTGGCTAATTTTTGAATTTTTAGTAGAGATGGGGTTTCACCAGGTTGGTCAAGCTGGTCTCGAACTCCTGACCTTGTGATCTGTCTGCCTCAGCCTCCCAAAGTGCTGGGATTAGAGGCATGAACCACCACGCCCGGCCAATAGTCCTAAATTCTAAGAGCCAATCAACCCAACTGCTCAGCAACTGAGGGATGTTTGAGTGTGCATGGATATGTTCATTTCTGTCCTGCTTTCATTGCCATGGCAAACTCTGAAATACTCACCTAATGAAGCATTACACTCCCTTGAAAACATTGTTTACAAAGAGTTTATAACATAGAAAATGTCTTCTGTTGTAAAGGGAAAAAAGAAGCACACAATTGAAATGAGTCATGTTTATTACATTGTCTAAAAGCGAGCAAAATCTCTTCCCCAGCAAAAAGCTGGCAGGGCAGGGAGGCCAACGTTAAGAGCAGCAGGTGGTCCTCCCCTCCCTTTATCCTTCTGTTCTCTCTTTTTTTTTTTTTTTTTTTGAGATGGAGTCTCACTCTGTTGCCCATGCTAGAGTGCAGCGGTGCGATCTTGGCTTACTGCAACCTCCACCTCCCAGATTCAAGTGATTCTCCTGCCTCAGCCTCCCAAGTAGCTGGGATTACAGGCACCCACCACTACACCCAGCTAATTTTTGTATTTTTAGGAGAGATGGGGTTTCACCATGTTGGCCAGGCTGGTCTCGAATTCCTGACCTCAAGTGATCCACCCGCCTCAGCCTCCCAAAGTGATGGGATTACAGGCATGAGCACCGTGCCCGGCCTATTTTCCAACTTCTGAAAAATGTGTGCACATTACTAATAAAGTGGGGAAGGGTATACTTTATGTTTCAAAATGACCTTGAGGGAGTAGGACAGAGATTGCTCTCAGCCCAGGTTCTGCTCCTCCCCCTGCTGCCTCGCCCCATTGCCCAGAGATACCCTCTGGGGCTGAACCAGGTTTCACTTGCCCCAGGGCCCCTGCAGCTCTGGCCTTCCCCACCCCAAACCGCAGGGCACCCAGCAAAGGAGTCGCAATCCAGTACCTGCACCTGTTCCCAAGTGGAAATGCTGCCTCCAGGTAGCCAGGGCCTCCCCCAAGTCCTCAGAGGAATTTCCTCTGAGGAAATTCCTGCCCTCCCAGGAATTTCCAGAAAGGACTCATGGAGGAATTTCCTAGACGAAGACAGGCAGACAGACAGACAGACACCTCAGGCAGCTATCGTTACTAAGCGCAGATGTTTGCCTGCAGGTGATGTGCTGGGAGCCAACACAGGCACACAACTTTGAGGTGAGAGGCAGCACCAAGTAAGAATGGAGAGCAGACCCACCCGGGCAGGGTGGGGGCTGGCATGAGGAAGGGACTGGGAGGGGGCCCCAGAGTTGGTCAGTAGATCGAGTCTCCAGGCACAGAAGTCCCTACTGTTGTCTCTGAATGGCACAGTGCCTGCAACTCTCCCCTCAGCACAGCAGGCACCGCAGGGGCTCCGGGAGGGGTCAGGGCAGTGTGACTGTGAGTGGTAGGACTGCAGTCTGGGCTTGGGCACTTAGCAAATTTGCTGTCCTGGTGGCTTGTCAATATCCCCTACTGGCCCAGGGGCTCCCCGAGGTAGTAATTTTATCTTAAACCCATCCTTACACTCTCGGTGCCCATCACAACACCCAGTTCATCACAACACTCAGTGTCTAGGGCTGCTCCAGTAGCGGGGAGGATGGACCCCCATATGGATAGGGGAGTGGATAGAGGAGTGATGGGATCAATGCCCGAAGTGGGATGAGAATACTGGGGACAGCGCCAAAGCAGGGAAAGAGGGCTCCAGGTCCTGTCGGTGCCCAGAATTTCCCTGCACGCTTCTGCACCCAGCTTGCTCCAGACCTAGACACAGGCAAGAGCTGACGTGGCCCCGCCAGACTGGGCCTAGCGAGCCCGAACCTGCCTGGTCCAAGCAGCTGCAGCGTGGGACCTCACACGTCCCCGCCCAGTCCCAGCGGTCAGAGAAACCAGGGAATCCGGCCCAAAGCTGTCTCCTCCAGGAGGCAACCGGGGCCACCCGCTGTAAAGAGCTGCCAGCATCCCTCCCCTCTCCAACCCCTCTGCTGGCTCCTTTTCGGAGCAGTTACGTCCAGCAGAAGTTAAGTTCCTTCACTGAACAGTGAGTGATTTCACCAAGTCCACAGATATTCACTGATCATCTACTGTATGTGCTAGATGCTGTACCAGGAGCTGGCAATAAGATAATGAACAAAACAAAAACCCATGTCCTCCTGGAGCTTTGACTCTGTGGAATGCCCGAACTGGGATGCAGTACTCTCGCCAGGGCCACGTGTCCTCCTAGGTGAGCAAAAGGCGCGTGAGGTGCCGCCCTGGGACCAGTCGTCTGGTGGACTTCGTCCTGGGCGGGAGGAGCGGGCCGCACCTCGGACAAACGCTTGGCTGGGCACGTCGCCTGGGGCAGGTGCGCGAAGGAGAGGTGGGTGGCGCTGGCCGTGCGCAAAACCGGGCCCTGACCCGGCCGCGGGGTTACAGGCCGTTGGTGCTCTGTATTTATTGTAAGCGCAGCGAATAGGGCCTCCAGCGGCCTGAGCGCACGTGGTGGTGCAGTGGAGAGCCGGCTGGGCCCTCCCCAGCTCCAGGCTCCTCCCCGGCGGGGTCAGAGCCAGACTTGCTGCGGCGTCCGGGCCCCGCGTAATTACAGGGGCTGTAGCAGGCCTGGCCGTAAAATAGGAGGATGAAACGGCCTGGGAACCGGGTAAGCTGGGCTGGAGCTGGCCAGGGGCCCCGGGTCGGTGGCTTCCCGCGATGCGCAGCCGCGGGGAAGGGCCGGCTAGGGATGCGCACACACAGAGCACCAACCCGGCTCTCACACAGCCACACAACCACTCACGTAAACCACCAAACGCACGCAGACACACAACATTCGGCTCTCCCACTCCAGGCTCACTCGTGAGCCTAATCAAACACCTGCCCGCCCTCTCCACCCCAGGAGCTGACACCCGCCCGCCAAGCCCTCTCCAGACGGCAGCAGATCCTGGCGGGGAGAAGAGCCCCGAGAGGCAAATTCCAGCGGGTTTGTTTACACAGCGCGGGGGAGGGGGCCGAGCCGGGTACTGGGGCCCGACTGACTGGGAGCCCCAGCTCAGACTGGGCCAGCCCCAGCTGTGCAGCCTGAGGACTGCGCACAAACACCCCTCCGCTCCACCCCACCCCCGCTGCACGCCGGTACGCGTCTCCCCTCCTCTTCACACACTGTTCACAAACATTAGCATACGTCTGTCAAAGAGTTTCACACGCTTTCACACACGCGGCTGTGATACTACTCACAAATGCTTTCACACTAGCGCGCCATCACACGTATTTCATGTGTGGTTACAGTTTAAGTCACCCTTCATGCCCAGATTCTCACAGTCCATATTCAAGAGCCCGTTTGCACGGTGTACGCGTGTGTTGTCACACATACTCAGGTCATCAGTGCCCTTTAACGTATCTAAGAACGGACCCCTCTCGAGCCCAGGGTCCCGCGTGTCGCTCCTGCGCGCAGGCACTGATGGGATGGACAGAGGCGCCCTTAGCCCCGGCCGCACACGTTACACACTCGATCACACACAGCGTTGCACTTTATTCCCGGCATCTAGGCGATGACACAATCTCCAGAACAAAGACAACATTGACAAACCCAACAAAAACAAACAGCCGCATGTGTGTGGGGAGGGGCAGTCGAGCGCAGAGTCCGGGAAGGGGATGGGGGAGGAGGAGAGGGTGAGAACGCCGGCGCCCGAGCCTGGGCTTGCGAGGCTCGGAAAGGTGCGGGGCATGTCAACAACCTCGCACCCTGCAAGGTCCGCGCGCGGAGCAGCAAAGCCGGGTCCCGTACCCCCGCGTTCGCAGACTCGCACTTGCGAGTTCTTCCCTTCTCCCGCACGCGACTGCGCCCAGGGACGCAAGCCCACCACCCGGAAAGGCTTACAAAGCTCCACGCAGACCCACAAGTGAGCGAACACACAGCTCTGAGCAGATCTGCCGGGGCAGAGGAGCGCGCTTCGCTCTTTCCTGCACCCCTAGCCTCCTCGCCTCCCCTGCCCGCCCCTCCTCCACCTCCCCAGCCCCCAAGCCCCGGGGCAGCCGCGCGCCGGGCGGGGCGAGGGCGGGGCGGGGTGTCGGGCGGCGCCGGCCCAAAAGGCGGAGTCGCAAGGCGAAGGGGCCAGATCTGTGAGCCCAACGCTGACTTCGCCGCGGAGAAAGCCAGCGGGAACCCAGACACCTAGGAGCCCGGCGTCCCCGCCCGGCCTGGCCAGGCCCCGCGCTATGGAGTTCCTCTGGGCCCCTCTCTTGGGTCTCTGCTGCAGTCTGGCCGCTGCTGATCGACACACCGTCTTCTGGAACAGTTCAAATCCCAAGTAAGCCTCGAGTCTTCCACTGGCAGCCTGGACTCCCGGCTGGCACTGCCCTCCCTACCGGGATAACTGTCCCGGCCAACCCCTGAGCTGAGCCTAGAGTAGATGACCGAGGTAGGAGGGCTGCTGTAGATTTTCCTCCCCTCACTTCTCCCTCATATCTGGGAGTACCCCACCCCGGGGCAGGAACCTGCTCGTGTCTACTTGCATGGGCTTATATCTGCCCTTCCCTTCCTTCTCTCTGGTACCCCTATTACTCTGAAGTGAGGGACCTATGCTGGGCAGTTCCTGCCTCCAGCATAGACTTCGCCCCCGGCAGCCAGGGCCCTTGTTCTAGGTCCCCCTCACGTTGAAAGCCTCCACGCCCCTCCTTGTGTGTCCTTTGGGCATCTGACCACACTGACAGGTACCTGGTGTGACATCAAGAGTGCGCAGAATGCTCAAGGGAACCCTGAAAGGACCTCTCAGGAGAGAGCTGGGCTGTAGGCATTCATTATGCATTCACCCTGTATTTAAAGCAAACCTGGAAAGTCCCCCACTAGGGGTCTTTTGGGGTGGCATGAGTGAGGCACATGCTGTGCATGGGTAGGTTGAGGGAATCACCTGTTTATGGGGCTCTCAAGTAGTAAAATTGAAGAGCTGGGAGAGGGAGATCATGGGAAAGCTTCAGAAGGAACAGAAGGGGTTAAAGGGATTACAGAAGGCTCTGGGCAGGAAGGAGTTAATTTCTACTGGGCAGGTTTAGGGCTGTGAGGCAAATGGTACTGGGAGGAAGACTCTGTCGGCCCCTTTGTTCTTGCCCTTGAGTTTCCCGAAGTTATGGGAACAATATTTGCGGGAATATAGGAGAGGGTGGTAGGGAGGACGGGGAGAGAACTGGGCAGCTTGGTATCACCAAAGCCATCTCACTGGCTTAGCCACTCTTAGCCCTAGCGAGCTTGCCCCCCACTCCCCTTGAGAAATATGTTGTGCCAGCTTCCTCTGACCCTGTGGCATCGTCTGGTGAGGCAGTCTGTTGTCTGTGGCTTGTTGGGGTCGGGGAGAGAACAGCCAGCTGCCAACCCCAGAGGGCAATGCCCTCCTGCACATGGATGCTGGGGAGGCCCAGCCAGCCCTCTGCCACCCGCTCCTTGTGCTTTGCCTCCTTGACCCGATGCATCTTGCCCTAGTATGGGAGAGAGCAAAGTCCCTGTTTATGCCCATTCCAGGTGTTGACTGAAGAAGGAGGAGGGGACAGGAAGCCATGAGTAGGGAGGGGGGGACCCTGGCCTTTTCCGTTCCCAAGCTCCCAAGTTTCCTCTCTTTCAGGAAGGAGCCTCTTCCTTACCCACCTCCCCGCCTTCCCTGACGCCACTGCCCCCTTTCCCAGATGGGGAACAAGAGTCAAATGAAGGCTAAGTCGAGCAGACTGTACCCCCAGGAGAGGGGGCTGATGGGTGACCCTCTGGCCACACACACACACACACACACACACACACACACACACACACACCCTATCATACCCAGGACTAAAGAGACGCCAGTCCAGAGTAGAGTCCGTAGGCAGCCAAGCTGGGCCCAGCGTGGGGGCAAATATGAGGCTACAATGAACAGGGTAGGTGAGGCTGGCATGGGTGACTCAGGCCAGTGGGCAGCAGCCCTGGGATCTCCAGGCCTCAGGCGGGGGCAGCATGCTGAGAAGGGCACCAGCCTCCCTCGTGCTGGAGGGCAGGCCCCTCATTCCGACCTGCCGGCTGCCTTTGTTTGGAGGACAGTGTTGGGGGTGAGTGGGCGCTGTGCCCTCCTGGGGTCCTAGGGGCTGTCCACATTTGACAAGGTAAATTTTCACAGGTTCTCATGAGTGCTGGGGCGGGTAGCAGAGGTGGATGAGGAATGAGTCAGTGCCCGTCACGGGAATGAGGGAAAGACGCCAGGCCCAGAGCTGAAATACCTGTTCCGAAATGGCTTCTATGTTTATCTCTCCAGAGAGGAATTTTAAAAGCCTCTCTCTGCTCCTCTCTCTCTTTTCCCCAGGGTGGGGGAGGGGCCTGGTAAGCCCAGTTTGGGCGCTGGCGTGCTGCTGCAAAGCCTGGCCTCTCTGGGGTCATGCTGATTGGGCAGTGGGTGCCCATCTCAGAGTCCTCTCCACCTGACTCCTTCCTCGCCCTCCCAGCCGTGGCCAGTGCTTTCGGTTCGAAGCAAGTTGCTAATTCTGCTGAGTCTCTAGCTGGCAGTGCCTGGGGGAATTAGAGAAACTGAGCAGCTTCGGGGGTTGTGGGGAGCACTTTTCCCCCTACTGGAACCCCACCCAGGCTGGAGCCAGGTGTCTAGGGCTGGTGGGGAGGGGCTGGTGGGCAGTCAGGCTGGAGCCGGTGGGGCCAGGGGGAATGAACTAGGGGAGGGGAGCTGGCTCCACCTTGGGAAGAGGGGAGAGGAGAGGAGAGGGGAGAGGCTGTCTCAAGCCCAGAGTTCCAGCATTTCATCTGGCGGGAGGTAGAAATGTGGCTTTTGGAGAAAAAAGGACAGGGATGTTTGGGGGTGCTCTAAGAAGGGGAAAAGGAGACCAGTGTATAACTTTGAGTAGCTAGAAAAGGAGATTTGAGGGGGGCTGAAGGAATTGATAAGAGTGATTTAACTTAAAGGACTAGGGGCATTATCTGTGGGCCCGGGTATATTAGCTTCACTTCTGAGGAAAAGCGAAGCTAGGAAATGTGAGATCTACTCAGTGGGTCCGGGGAAACGTGAGAGGAGTAAGGAAGGTGAAGACACAGATGTGTTGGGGGCTCGGGGCTAGCATGGTAAAGAGAAAGGGTTTCCTGGATTCTGATTACAAGATAGACCGGTGGGGTCTCAGGTTGAGGCCTAACAGCATTTAAAAGGAGCAACTGGTATAACAGATTTGGGGAAATATTTATGGGTAGAAGAGAATGATGAGTGAGCTACAGAAATAGGTAGAAGCCCATCCTTGAGTAAATATCACGCGGGTTATGGAAAATGCTTTGTTACCTGAAAGATACTGAGTGGATGCTATTTGAAGGACCAACAGGAGACAGTGATGGTGCGGGGGAATGTTTAGAGATGGCAGAGAGAAATGTAAGACATCAAGATCAGTACATATTGGGAGTTGAGACTTTGGAAAAATCTCTTGGGGTCTAGTGTGAAATGTGAGAGGTCATGTAAACATTTGGAGGTCCAAGGATCTGGCCTGGCTTCTGAATGACCCCCTGCTTCTTCCCCCGTGTGTGTCCCCAGGTTCCGGAATGAGGACTACACCATACATGTGCAGCTGAATGACTACGTGGACATCATCTGTCCGCACTATGAGGATCACTCTGTGGCAGACGCTGCCATGGAGCGGTACATACTGTACCTGGTAGAGCGTGAGGAGTACCAGCTGTGCCAGCCCCAGTCCAAGGACCAGGTCCGCTGGCAGTGCAACCGGCCCAGTGCCAAGCATGGCCCAGAGAAGCTGTCTGAGAAGTTCCAGCGCTTCACACCTTTCACCCTGGGCAAGGAGTTCAAAGAAGGACACAGCTACTACTATATCTGTGAGTGCCTGTGAGGGGACAGTGTCTGTTTTTTTTTTTTTGTCACCATGTACATGCTTGGGTACATGCTTGGTGCAGAGTCCAGCAGTAGAGGGCCCCTTCCAATCTTGAATTCTATTTTCATTCATCCACATCCCAATGTGAGTGAGCCTCTACGTGCTGGGCACTCTGCTTGGCACTACCAGCACAGAGATAAATAAAACACTACAGAGTCCCTGTCCTCACGGAAGCTGGGAAGAAACACACATAGGTTAACAGACCCTTAGAACAGTATGCTACGGTAGACATGAACACAGGGGCCTTGGGAAAATGACCTGGGTACCTGCCAGGCTATGGGGCTCAGAGAAGGCTCAGTGGGGAAGATGATCCCAGAGCTTAGGACAGGCAGAGGAGCTGGCCAGGCATGAAGGCATACGTACAAAGGGAGCATGACATCTTCAGGGAACTTCCTATGGCTCAGCCTGGCTGGAGTGGGAAGGATACAGTCAGTGAGGAGATGTGAGCCTAGAGAGGTGGACAGAACAGACCATGGGGGAACTAAAAAGTGATAAGGAGTTTATCCTGGACTTTATCCTGGACTTATTGGACTTTATCCTGAGGGCTCTCGCCAATGATGGGTTTTATTTCATTTTACTTTATTATATTATTTTAAGATGGAGTTTCACTCTTGTTGCCCATGCTGGAGTGCAGTGGTGTGATCTCTGCTTACTGCAACCTCTGTCTCCCAGATTCAAGCAATTCTCCTGCCTCAGCCTCCCAAGTAGCTGGG